GTGGGGGGGGTGGCGGGGGGGGGGGCGGAGTCGTCCGCAGCGCCGGCCGCCGCAACGTTCTATTCAGCGAATAGGGAGGAGGCGGCGACCCTGGGGAAAGGCGGGTGGGATTGGCCGAGGGAAGTCACGTGATTTGGCCGGCAGGGAAACTTCAGAAGCGGGACCGCTTTCGAGCTCTCGCGTTTGTCCTCAACTGTTACTCTCCGTTCGATCCCTGTTCCAGTTCTGAACAGTCCGTGTGATCTGGAGAAGCCGCCGTGTCCTTTAGTAGGCTCCGCACCGCCTGCAGAGGGAAGGGGAACGAGGAAAGAAGTCTCCCGCGTTTCCCTTTCTCCGCCGACCCCTGGGGGGAGACTCGGAGGGCGATGAACAGGCAACTCCCAGGAGGTAGAATTGCCGCTTATTTGGGGAATTTCCTGGGGCTTGTTAACAAAGTACCAACCAGGCTGGACGCGGCTTAGATTTGTAGAGATTAATCAAGCGGACCTGGAGATACCCTAGCTTTCCCACTTCCAAACAGAGTAAATGCCTCGTTGACAGATATGAAGGAAGGCTCCCAAGTCTCTGATACAGGAACTTCGCGGATCCAGAGCCCTTCCCAAAGTTGCCGCTGATGTGTAATTTTTAATGTAACTGGGAGGGTTTTTTTAAATCCATGGGGAGTCAGCATTTCAGTTATGTTTAAGTTACTGTTAACATTGAATTGTATTTTCTTAAACCCGCCTATTTGTTTGAAGGGCATCCCTTCCGTATGTCATTTAAAGGCCAAACTTGCACGCACTCTAAGGAATTCTCAACGTTTATTCTATATAAATGTTTGTTGCTTTTGTAAGGCTGAGCTAAAAGAATGAAGATACCATCATTTAGTGAAATAGGTTTCTATATTCCCCTGATTAATTTCAAAAAATCATGGAGACCTGTTGATGGGATCTAGGTCACAGTAGGTTTGTTGGAGCTTTCTTCTCCTCTCCCCATAGATTACTGGACAAAGCATATGCTATTATTTCACAGTGTATTTTCAAACAGTTTATTAAAATCTAGAGTGAAGTATTGTAGAGAGATATAAGATAACAAATCTTCCTATGGAATCAGGAACTTATTTTGCAAATCTAATACAGTAATAGATTCCATTTGCTCACATGTAGTTTTTCATAATTCTGTCTCTTCATAAGATTATATCCAAATATGCATTTTTACTACTGCACATTTGCTTAAAGAGAACAATATTTATATCATATTTCTTGCCAAACGTCTGTATTGGATATTATAAAACAGTCTTATTAATAGAGGTTGAAAGGCCCAAAGTTAAATGTACCAGACACTAACATTTCTTGGCAAAATAACAACTTTGGTTATTTGGACAACATTTTGTTTACAGGCAGTCCCCGGGTTACAAATGAGATCTGTTCCTAAGTCTGTCTTTAAGTCGAATTTGTAGGTAAATTGGAACAGTTATTTAGCATCAGTCAACACAGTGTTAATGGCAGACGGCATTCGACAAACTGCTGAAGCCGTGTAATTTTTCATGAGTGTCACATTTTCATGAATGTGCGTTCATTATTATTTAACTCAAAATTTTAATATAATAGGCTTTATGGCATTATGGCTATTTGTAAGTACGAGTTGTCCACAAGTCAGATGTTCTTATCCTAGGAACCGCCTGTATTAAATTAGTAAACAGTGAAACATCCTTAGGGAGATGCAGAACTAGCATTGTAAAATAATGGAAAATTTATGCCATAATATTTTGGACTGCTACTTAGATCTGAATGGTCAAATCCCAACAACTTTTTTTAGGGCCAAAATTATTCCAAGCCAATGTGTAGGATCGATCAGTAGGTACTAGAAACATTTGACTTCCTGTTCTTGCTGCTAAAGGAAGTGCCAACAGTTACTAAAGCTTCTTTTTTTTCCCCAAGAAAGATTGAATATTGGCTCACTGTTTTAATAAAGTCATGACCCAGGACATTCTTTTGTGTGTGTGTGTTTTTTTAACCAGAATCTTTTCATATGTTAATAGGGCTTAGAAATTGTAGCTCACACAACTGCAGGATTATGGATGTTCTAAAGGGTTCACAGACTTAACATATAATTTCAAGTCTAAACACTAATTGTTAGCAGATCATATGCTTTCACCTTCTAAAAATATCTTTGTTTTTTAAAATCTCATGGTTTTAAAATTATAGCACTATAAACAAATAATTTATAGTAGTACTTTCACAACTGACAAATCATGGGAATAAGCTTTTAGATAGCTGAATGATACAATATAAGTAGTAGTAATTAAGAGGCAGTGTTGTTACACTGTAGTCCTAGGTTAGGATGGAAAAATAATATACAGTTGCAAGAAAAAGTATGTGAACCTTTTGGAATTTCATGGTGTTCTGCATTAATCTGTCATAAAA